TATTGGTGTCAGATTGGCAAAAGAGCTGGTGGTTGTTGACTGTGGTAACCAAAGGATACAGATATTCTCACTGTCTTCTCTCAATTTGCCAGCTTTCAGGACATCTTCCTCACTCGATCATCAAACCACTCAAGGATACACTTCAGTGGGACCAGTGGAGGCAGCTACTTACTACAAACTACCATCAGCAAGATACTGAGTGACATTTTAAAACTACATTAATAATAATAATAATAATGTGTGTGGGATTACAGAAAATATTGTTATAAATTAGATAGTGACATTTTCAGTTTAAAATTTAAAATTTATTGTTTTTTGTGTGTTTTTATAACGAACTCATTTTGTTTGTAAGGTATGAGCCTCTTTTGAATGCAACACCTCCAGTTAACTCCTATTACAACAATAATAACAATAACAATTATTATTATTTTTATTTATTGTTATTATTATGAAAGTAATAACTTACAATGCCATCATCAGCGTTGAGTTTCTGCTTCTTCCTGAAGCAGAATATACAGCAACAGGCCAACAAACAAGCTAATACCAAGAGGACTCCACCAGTCACTGATGCTACCACAATAACTGCTAACTGAGCATCACTGCAAGCAAGGACAATATAAGATAAAAAAATAGCTACATCTAAAAATAGAATCACTTACTTTGTTAGTGCACAGCTGCTGCTACTGAGATCATAGATCTGCCAGAGTGGACACGATGGAACACAGACTGACTCTCCATTGGTCTGTGTAATGGACTCCTCACTGCAGACTGAACAGTTTGATGAAGAAGGACCACTACAGCCACTACACTGAGGATCACAGGCCCTGCACTTGTTGTTATCATCAGAATAAGAACCAAAAGGGCAGGCAGCGATACACTCGTTCTCACTAGTAAAGGTATTGTTGACATTCCTGCAGTGACTGCACTGAGTGTTAGCAGGGCCTGTGCAACCGGAGCACTGGGGATGACAATCAAAGCAGAAGAACTCTCCATTCTTCTCTGAGAGGTATTGATTAGAATTGCAACTAGGAGCACAGACCCTTTGACCTTGTGAATTAGTCCTCATTAAACCTTTACAGGACACACAGTCACGATTAGTAGAGCCAGTGCAACCATTACACTCAATATGACA